GTAATTTATTTAATTTTAAAGTGAAAAATTTTAAAATTTGATTTTATTTTCATTTTTTTTAAATAAATTTATTTTTAAATTTTGGATTTTTATTTAAATTTTTTCGATTTTTTTCATTTCAAAAATAAAATAAAACTCATTTATTTTAAAAATATTCTTTGTTTTTTTTTTAAATTCTCCATAATAAAAAGCAAAATTTTCTCTCTTTTTTTTTTTTGTATAATTAAAATATCCAAAATTAAAAGAATTGAAAAAATTTAGAAAATTTTCAATTTGTACTAAATTCATTTATATCTAGAAATTATCAAAAATAAAAAAATCTATATTTAAAAAAAAAAACACAAAAAAAATTAAAAAAAAAAAATATTTATTTTTTTACTTTATTATAGTTTTTCATCAGATTTAATAATATATTTAAACTTCTCAATATGTAAAAGTATTTCTTTATTATCATTTTTATAAATCTTCTCCATTTGAATGTTATTATAAATCTATTCATCATTAATTTAAAAACTATTTCCTCTATAATCAGATTATATTGAATAGGCACAATCATTAATAAATATACTCAAAATATATTCATCATATTATTAATATATTTAAAGATTTTAAGTTTCGCAAAGAATATTTTCTAAAAAAAACATTAATTTTGGTTCAAACTAATATTCATTTTACTTTTCAACTAAAATTTTTAAAATCAAATCTTCGCGAATTTCAGATTCAATATTATTTTAATAAAAATATGAATCTAAATATGGTTTATATAAGTTAAAATTTCTTTCCAAAAAAGCATTTTAAATACAGTTAAAAAACATTCATATATCTAAAATCCTAAATTAAATTACAAAATTTAATTTAATAAAAAAGCACTAAAAAAATATGTATATAAATATATATATAAAAATAGATATATATAAAAAATATAATATATATATATTTTTATATATATACATATATATGTATATTTTATATTTACTTTTAATTAATCTTAAATTTTTATATTTTAAAAAAACTAAATTTCTTTTTCTGTATTAAATTCAAATTTTCCTTATTATAAATGCATTAGATTAATTCCTTAATTAACTTCATAAAATCCATATAAATTAAATTCACTAAAATTTCCTTTAATAATATCATTTAGTGTATTGTTTTCGTTATAAATCGTATATATATCAAAATTGCAATTTTTATAAACTAATTGTACTTACATACATTTATGTGCATTTTATATTGTAATAAAATCTTATAGATTTATAAAATCTATGATAATATTTTTACACTTTAAAGTAATTATTTTAGGAAATAAATTATCTTATAAATATGTATTTAAAACACGATTTTCGATATATTTATTTATTTAATTTAGAAATTTTTGTGTATACTTTATCAAATATTATTTAATTTTTTTTTTTTTTATATAAAAATGTTACTTTTAAATATCTAAATGTGGAACAACTATATGTAGAAAATCTAGCTTTTATTTCTTACATTTATATATGAATTTTAGATTTATTAATACAATTTATAACCCCTAGTTTGAAAGGTATTTAGAATTCAATTTGTATATTGGAAAAAATAATATTTTTTTGAAATTAGTTATATTAAGTATTTAATAAAAGTATTTATATTTCATCAAATTATGTATTATATTATAAAAATGATTTCTTATTTATTTTATTATTTTTTAATTAAAAAATTATAAAATTAATTTGAAAAAAATACTTTATTTATATGGAAATTTTGCTAATTTATAAAAAAGCGAATTTTTAGTTATTTATTTTAAGTGTAAATTAAAAAGTCTTCCTTTTTTAAATTTTTTCAATATTATTTTCTATTACTATGATATTTATGTTTTTAGTATTTATTTTTATAAACTGTAAAAAATACATAAAGGAAAAAATAAAAAATCATTAAAATTTTTCTTTTAAAAAATTTGCTATTTTTTATTTTTTCTGAATCTTTTAATATTAATTTTAGTATTTTTTTCAAATTTATTAAAAGAATTTCTTAATTTATTTCATTTTTTTCTTAATATTAAATATTAATTAAATAAAGATTCTTTTTTATTTTTATTAAAGTATTTATATAGTATTTAAAACAAAATAAAAATTACTTTTAATTCAAAATAAATGTTTATTTATTCAATATTTAATACAAATTATTTATTATTGAATGAAAAATTTATATTTGGAATTTCAATGAAAATCCTTTCAATTAAAGAATTGCAATATAATGGAATCATCAATAAAATATTATTAAATTTATTATAATATTTAAATTATAAAGATAAAATTCCTGTGTATTTTTTAAGTATAAAAATAACCAAGTTAGGTACTGTAAAAAGAATTATAATAGTTAGTAATAAAAATAGAATAAAAATTTTTAAATATTAAAAAGAAAACAATCATTTTTATATTTAAATGTATTTAATTTTGAAATAAAATAAAAATTTAAATATATATATATATATATATATATAAATATATATATATATATATATATAATAATTTTTTTATTTTATTTATATATTAAATTAATTATTTATATATAATTTAAATTAGAAAATAATATTAATTAAAAAGTATTCTTATTTATATAAAGTAAAAATATATCAAATATTTATTTAAAATAAAATAAAAAGTATTTTCATTTTATAATATCATTATAATCTCATACACATATAAACATTTATAATAGTAATTTCTAAAATCAATTTTTGTTTCTAAAAAGTAAATAAAAAGGCCAAAAAATTAAATAGAAAAAAAGTTTAACTATTTATTTTTTTAATGATAATCTTTTTTATTATTACTGATAAGTTTATTAATCTAATTATTAAATAGGATTTTAATTTTAAATCAAATTATTATTTTAAATTAAATTATTATTTTTACTTTAAGTGCAGACTTTTTCAATTCTAATAATTTTTTTTTTTAATTATTAACTTTTTGTATGAGTTTTTTATTTTTAGATTAAAAATTCATTATCATTTGATTTAATTATTTATTTTTCTATAATTAAAAACTTAATTATTTTTATAATTATTTATTCATCTTTTCTAAAAAATGATAATTTTAAGTATTTTTTATATTCTAATCATCAATAAATTTGATAATTTAATTATTTTGAAAGACTTAATTATCCAAAACCTAAATTTTTTAATGACAATTATCTATTAATTTATACTAATTTTAGCAGACAAAAACTTAATATTAATAATTTTTTTAAATTTCTTTTATATTTTATTCCAATTCTTCATTTTTTTTACATTAAATTTAATAACCTTACCTATATTTACCCAACTCTATTTTTTAAAAAAAACTTCTTTATTTAAACTCTCATTCTCCTTTTATAAATTCTACAATTAATTTTAAAAATTAACCAACTAAAATTAAAAACTTTCATTTTCTTTATTTTAAATCTAATTTTTTATACCTAAGTATTAAAACAATTTAAATTTTCCTTTAAAAAACTTTTATTTAAATTTAAAATATTTTAATCTTTTTATAAAATCTCAATTATTTCTTCTGCTCTTTTTTTCAAGTTTTCCAAATCGAAAAACTACTCCAAATCTTTACAAACCATTCCCTATATTAAATCGAAAATTTCTTTATATTAAAAAAATGCTTTTTTTAATTTCCCTTCTTCTTCTTCTTTTTAACTAAATCTCTTTTAATGTAATTAATAAACAATCTCATAGTTTTCAAAATCATATATTTTTTATATTATTTCTTCTTTATTTTTACCTTTAAAAAGCTTTTCGCCTATAAAAAATTCATGTAAAATACAACCTAAAGCCCATATATCGACTTTAAAATCATGTGTACTATGTTAAAACTTAATTTAAAAAGGGGACATATAGCATACATTATATTCATTAATCTTATTTTTTTTTTTTTTTTTGAAAAATAAAATAAAAATCGTTTTTTATTAAATAAATGAAAATATACTTCTTAGTATTTATTAAAATTTCCTAATTTAGGTAAATATTGACCATTTGAATATATTTTTAAAAAAATGTTTTTAGGATTTAAATATTAATGTGTTATTTAATTTTTTTATAAATCTATTAGAGATTCTATTAGTTATTTAAAAAAATACATTACAGTAATTGAATCTATGTCATTTTTTTCATTTTCGATTATTTTTTTTAATGATATTTCACATAATTCAGTTATTATATAAGTCGTTTTATTTTACTAATTCTATATTATGTCTATTATATGAGTTATATATTATGAATTTTTCATTTTATCTTTTATATTTTGGTATAATTCGATTTCATTATTGTAATATAGGTTAATTTTATCGTTTTTGTATTGTTTTAATATTTTTATTGCGGATTTTTGACTATGATAGATACATTTATATATTTAAAAGAACTCTTCTTCGTAAATCTTTTCTTATAAATTAAAGTTTTTTTTTTAAATATTAAACATCTTCTTAATTTTTAATATTATTTACCTAATAAGTATTTATTTATTTTTTTTTAAAAAAAAGAAATTTAAAAATAATATTTTTATAATTTTATTTTAAACTAATATATTTAAATTATTAGATTATAAAACATATTTTTTTAATAAAATATATTTTTATATAAGTGTTCTATATATAGTTTTTTTTTTTTTATTATTAGAAAATATTTAACGTTTGATTATTTGTTAAAAAATAAAATTAAAAATTGAATAACTAATTTTTTAATATATATATAAAGATTTCATTTTAAATTTTTATATTTTCTTAATATTATATTAATTTATATTCTATGTATTTTTTTTTTATACTATATAAAAATAATATGTTTAATATATTAAATAAATATATATTTTTTATTTATTTATTTTTTTTTTAAAAAAAAAGAATATTTAAAAAGCTTATTATTTATATCATATTTAATAATTATCTATATAAAAGATTAATTTATTTTTTTGTATCATAATTAATAACTATTATAATTGATTTTATAATTTATTTATTTTTTATTAGATTATATTAAATTGCCTAAGCAAAAAATTAAATTATAAAGCTAAATTTAAAAAAATAAAAATGAATATGAATTGGGATATGTTTGACGGTCTACCAGATGATTACGTTTCGAATAATAAAATGACAGAATAAGAATGGGAAGATACAACTAATTATTTAAAAAACCATCCTTTATTTCTGAAATAAATCCCTGAAAATATAGAAAATAATCCAGATTTAGTTGCTTTATAAAATCTAATATATGATGATGAACCTGAAAATATAGCTAAAAATTGCAAAGTAAAATAAAAAAATACATAAAAAACAACAACAAAAAAATAAAAGGAAAGAGGAAACGATATATTCAAAAAAGGTACAGGAAAAAGATACTTTATAAAAGAAGCCTTAAAAACATATACCGAAGGAATCGATGCATAAGGAAAAGATAAAGAAATAAACGCAATTTTATATAACAATAGAGCTTTAATGAATATATAATTGAGTTTTTTGATAAAAAAATATATATATATATAGATAAATATATATAATATATAGATATAATTTTATATATTTATATTTATATATATACTTAAAATAGAAAATTTTGGAAAAGCTATTGATGATTGTAAATAGGCAATTTTATAAGTTCCATATTTTACAAAAGCATATTATAGAAAAGCTTAAGTTGAATAAAAATTAAGAAAATATTAAGACTGTATAGAAACTTTAAAATAAGGACTTGTTTTTGACAAAAATAATAAGGAAATGATTAACTTATAAAAATAAGTTGAATAATAACTAGATGAAGAAGAAAAGAAAAAAATTTAAACTATAGATTAAAAAAAAATATAAGTGGAAGATATCTACTCATTATGTTTAAAAAAAAATATTGTTTTAGGTAAAAAAGTCATGGATTTTCCCGAAACTTGTAAAGTAATTACTATTACTTTTAATATATAAGTTTATTTTTTATATAGTAAAGTATTTTTTTTGATAAAGAAAATTATATTCATTTCCCTATTTTTGTTACTTATCCCGAATTTTAGTAATTAGATTATATTTAAGATACTAAAGAAAATGATGCTTTAATTGATTAACTCTCTGTTATTTTTGAACAAGGGTTACCTTGGGATACTAATAAATATTATACTGATATGAATAATTTAGAAGTTTATATTGAATTTAATGTTACTTAGAGTTTAAAGCCTATATAAAATCCAAGAACTTGGCCTAGTTAATATGGCTTAAAAAAAATAGATTTTAACTAAAATATAATTAACGTTTTATCTATTAGAGGTTATGTATTGCCTATGGTTCCGGAAATTATTATTGTTTCTAAAATAAGTAATTATTATAATTATTTTTTATAAAATAATGATTTTATTAAATGATAAAAAGAAAAAATTATATTTATTAATAAAAATATAAAATATATATATATATATATATATATATATATATATATATATATATTTATGTCTAAAATATGCCATTTATTTATATATGGTCTGTTAAATTCTATTTATATTATATACATTTATATATGTATATTTATGTTTTTAATTTTTTTCATAAAAAAGATTTATTTAATAATAATTTTTAATTTTTTTTTTGTATATGTTAATCATATAATTTTAAACATACTTAAGGCTTTTTTTCATTTTCTTTAAAGTATTCAATAAAACAAATAGAACAATAATCAATAAAATCATTTAAATTGAAAACCTTTAAATTATTTAAAACAACTTAAATACCAAATCCATGTGTAACAATAACCAAAGCAGTTTTTTCCGAATTTTATTTATTAAAAAACTGTTCTATTAATAAATTATATGCTTTCGAAAATCTTTCATAAAAATCTTCAAGTTTATCCTCTGGAAATTTTTATTAAATTAATTTTTCGTTTTCTAAATATTGATACTAAATATTGAAATTATTTATCTTTTTTTTAACATATTCCTACTCTTATTAGCCACTTAATATCTCGTTAATGTCTTCTTTAAACCATTAGCTTCTTAATTATTCCCCTATTTACTTTTAAGTATATATTTTATTATCGATTATATTCAAGGAAGTATTTTTTATTATATAATACGCGGTTTATATACATCTTATAAATGGTGATGAAATAACTAATAAATTTTCTATTTTTTAGTTTTTTTCATCTAATATTTTTTATATTTGTTTTCCTGTTTCTTCTGATTATAAAATTCCTAATTAACTAAGCTCAGGATTATATAGATTATTTATTTTTTCAAATTCTTCCTTTTTAGGAGAATGGTCTATTCTTTCGCCATGCCTAATAATAAATATCATAATAAAAGATTATATATATATATATATATATATATATATATATATATATATATTTATTTATTTATTTTTAAAAAAAAGAAAATTTTAAAATTCTAAAAATATGTATATATAAATATATGGATAAAATATTTTATTTTTATTATCATAAAAATTCATAAATATTACTTTCAGTAATAACAGCAGATAACTATTAATCATGCTCTTCTATTATTAAATCTTCACAAATTTAAAATTAATACCCTATTCCTACAAATTTTAAAAAGGCATTCTTTTATTTTAATTATTTTATTGTTTTATCATAATATCCACCTCCATATCCAATTCTATATAAATTCTTATTAAATCCTAAAAAAGGAGTAATAATTAAATTAGGAATAACTTCTTTAGAATCTTCTTTTAAAGGAATAGGAATATTATACTTCCCTTTTATTAATATACTTTTATTATTATAACTACGAAACAGTAGACTTTTTTATTCATCTTCTTCTATTATTGGTAAAGAATAATTAAACTCGAGATGTTATAAATTCTAAATTATATTAAGACAGTTTATTTCAGATCCTATAGGATAAAATAATCCAATTTATATTTAATTATATGGTTTATTTGTAAAATGTTTAAATATGTAATTTTTAAGATTTTGTGAAGCTTTTTATTCTATTTCTAACTTTTATTAATAACTTAATTACTAAGTTGCTATATTTCTTAATAATTTTAATTCTTTTCTTAATTTTTCTTTTAATTCTAACATTATTGTTTGTTTGTTTGTTTTTAAATAATTTATATACAATAATATATTTAGATTAAATAAGTAACTTAAACAAGAAAAAAAGTAATTAAATTCATATTTTTTTTATATAAAATTAAATAGCTAAATCATATGTTTTTTTATATTAAAGAGCATTTTGTGAATATATAATAAAAGGAATTTATAAAAAATATATTTGATATATTAAAAATCAATTATATATAAAATAAAATACTCGGAAAAAATAAATAAAAAAATATTAAAAAATAAAAAAAAGTAAATTTATTTATATATTTAAATTCAATAAAATGATTTTCTAAATAAATATTAATTTTATTATTCATACTATAAATTTTAAAATTCCTACATTTTAACAAAAGAAGATTTCTACTATTATTATCTTTATTACAATAACGAATAAACTGACTAAGATTAAGTAACACTTTCCATTTAATCATAATAATTATATTTTAAATTATTTAAAGTACTCAATTATTAATTAGTTAATGCAGTCTGAGTACTTAATTATTAAAAATTCGAATTTTTTTCTTAATCTAAATATGATAAGATTGATTTTTTTTGTTATTCTAAATTTTAAAAGTTTGAATTTAAAATTTAATTTTTAAAATTTAAATTTTGTTCTTATTCTTCGTTTTATAAAAAATCTTGATTTTAATTTTTTTTAAGATTTTAGATTTAATTAATATTATCTTCATCATTTTTTAATAATTTATTTTAATTATTTTCTTTAAATATTATATTTTTAGGAGTTAAATTAATAATAGTTTTACTTTCATCTTATGAATATGATAAAGAATCATTTATTTCATTTAATTTAAATAGTTTTTATTTATTATTTTATTCATATTTTTCTTATATTTATTTTAGGTTTGTTTGAATTTCGTCATTTATATTTTATAATAAAGAATATTTTAATTATAAAAGATCGATTTTTTCATCGTTTTCTTGAATTTTTTATTATTTTATTTCTTGAACTTCCTATATTTATTTCATCTTTTCAAAATAGCATTACATTTATTAATCTTTTTATTGATTTTCTGAATACATTTAATCTTTTATTTAGTAAATTTAACTCTATAGAGATTAATTTTAAGTAATAATATTATTATTTGTATATTTTAAAAATTCCTTTAAATTTCTATGATTATATAATAATTAATTGATTTTATTTTTATGTATATTCTTATTTTCAATATTATGTTTTTATTAATTTTTTAATTCATATTAAATTTCGCTTATTTAATTTTAAAATTGTTAATTTATTTAATCTAAAAAATTGATTTTTTGAATAATTTCTTTTTTAAAAAATTCTTCATCATTTCTTTTTTTTTCTTCTTCTTTTAACTTTTCTTATTCATTTCTTTTTCTTTTTTTTTCTTTTTCTTTCTTTTTTTTTTCTTAATTTATATATTCTTCTTTATTTAATTTTTATATGTTTTTTTATATTTTTTCATTTGAGTCTTCTTCCTTTAATATTCTTTTTATTTCCTTTATTTATTTTTTTATTTATTATATTTATTCTTAATATTCTTTTTTTGTATTATTATAAAAGAACTTCATTCCTTAAAAGCAATATTAATAATCATTAATTCTTTTTTAATCTTTTTTATAAACTTATTAATTTTTCTTGCTTTATATTTATAATTAACTTTTAACTGTTGTATATAATTCTAATTATCTTAAATATTATATTAGTATATTTTTATTTTTATTTACTTCTATAAATCTTATACTGTTAAAATATTCATATTTTCCTAATTTTATAACTTTCTTTAATTATTTTTTATATATATAATATATAAATTTGTATATATATAAATATATAAATTTGTATATATATAAATATATAATATTTTATATTATTATCTA